AGTTCTTTCCCGTGTCATCTCCTGGAGATCTGTTGCAGCAAAGCCAGAAGGGCTCCTCTGTGACAGGACATCACTGGTATGGCAGTTGCCACAAAAGCCAGGCCCTGTTGACCCTGGAATTTGAACCGCGGTTTGTGTGAGGGGGAGTGTCGTCAGAGCATTCTGGTTGCACTTGTCAGGGCCACTAGGGCTTGGGAGCCTGGCACAATGTTGTCAACAGGCAGCACCCCAAGTTCGCTCACCACTCCTGGATGACACCAGGTTGACAGGAAGACGTTACCCAACACACGTTTCAGAAAGAATGACCTCATTGCATAGGACAGGAGAGGCGGTAATTGCCTTGAATATAATGTGCTGTGGGGGTGTGTGGCTGGTTTTTTAAGACTAAGCCTGGGTCGAGTGAGTTTTGAAACAGATGTGAGAGAGGCCGCTGCTGTCCACAGACTGTGGTGGGGACCAGGGAACCCTGCCATGGACACTGGGGCTTTTAAAGCACACTTTAAACATTTCTTTCTTTCTTTTTTTTTTTTTTGAGCCGGCTGGAGTGTAGTGGCATGTTCACAGCCACCACAGCCTGGACTTGCTGGGCTCAGGCGATCTTTCCGCTTCAGCCTTCCAAGTAACTGGAACTACAGGCATGCACTACCATGCCTGGCTAGTTTTTTTTTTTTTTTTTTTTAACTGTAGAGTTGAGGTCTCACCAAGTTGCCCAGGCTGGTCTTGAATACCTGGCCTCCTCAGTTTTTTTTTGTTGTTGTTATTGTTGTTGTTCCTGGTGACTCTGCCCTTTTTGAAGTTGGTCTAACTGTAGGTGTTGCTGGGCAGTGCAGCTTGGGCCCGACTGGGCTGGATCTGGGGCATATCCTGGAGGGCAGGTGGCCCATGGCCCTTGGCCCGCCTTGGTGCCCGCTGCCAGATCCATGGGTCTAGCTTACCATGGTTAAGCTTCTGCCCAAAGCGCAGAGGCACAGGGCACAGTCAAGGGGCTACTTGTGGAGCCCTGGCAAGCAGGAGTGTCTTGCTAACAAAACTGGTTGATGCCCTACAGGGCTGTGAATCTGTAACCCTTGGTCATCTTTTCAGCAGCTGGAAAGTCACAAATCAACGCTGCTTCCTAGTGTCTGGGCTCCAATCAGATGGTGGTAAATGGCCTGGGCAGCATAGGCCCATCTTAGACAACGGGATATTCCTTAGTCAGCTTGCTAAACAATAGCACCGGCAAGACGTGTGGCCATTTATTTCCAAGTTTGGGTTACTTTTTCTTCACAATACGGCCGTCCCTGTTACCCATGGTTTCAGTGACTCAAGGTCAGAAGGTTAGCAGTGTCCTATCATGATGTCCCCTCACTTCCCCCCATCACATGGGCCTGTGTCATCTCATGTCATCACCAGAGGGGTGAGGACTGTGCGGGAAGAGTCCACATGCACATAGCTTATGACAGCATGTTGTCACAATTGTCCTATGGTATTAGTTGGGCTCTTACTGTGCCTGACTTCCTGATTAAGTCTTATCACAAGTGTGTATGTGTGTGGTGTGTGTGTGTGTGTGTGTGTGTGTGTGTGTGTGTGTGTGTGTGTAAGAAAAATGTATTGTACATGGTCTCAGTGCCATCCAACATGCCGGGCACCCACTGGGGGTCTTGGAACGTAACCCCCGCAGATAAGCGGGGTGCTGATGTCCTGTGCTTTGCTTGTCCCGCAAGTTTGTGATGTGGATCCATTGAGAACGAACTAGAGTGCTTTGTAAACTGCAAGGTGCCAACTGTATTTCAATTACAGGATTCGTTTACAGAACCCTGACTCATATCAGGCTGGAATTAATACTGATATATGAAGGAGGGAGAGAGCTAATAACTGCACACCCATTTTAAAACTGTTTTTATCGTCTCACTTAATTCTTATAGAAAGACTGAAAACATGCAGAACCTGCTTCAGTGTGTAAGATCGGAATAATCACAGCCCCCACTTCACTGAGCTACTGTGAGAATTCATGACTAAAACAGATGCTAAAAACAGTACTTGGTGTACAGCAAACGCATGGGAAATGCTGGTTCACTAGTTGCCTAACCTGTTGCTTGGCCACCTTTATTGGAGTTTATTTTTCTTTAATAATAATGTATTTCATTTCTGGAAGCTCTGTTTGGGACTCAGTTTTTTTACAAATCTGCCTTTTCTATTTTTTAAAACAAGTATTTTAGCTTCTGAAGGTATGTTCCATGGGTATATTGCATGATGGTGAGGTCTGGGCATCTACTGAGCCTGTCACCCAAGGAGCGACCGTGGTGTCCCATAGATGGTTTTCCAGACCTTCCCCTCCCCGCCTGCCCACTCCAGGGGTCCTCAGTGTCTGTGTTCCCAGCTTTATTTCCGTGCCTAGCCAGCGTGTAGCTTCTGCTTTTAAGCGAGAACATGTGATATTCACTTTTCTGTTTCTGTGTTAATGAGCTTAGGATAATGGTCTCCAGCTGCATCTATGTTGCGTGAAGACATGATTTCTTTTTTTTTCTTTTATGGCTGTGGAGCAGTCCATGGCACATATATGCCACATCTTCTTCATCCAGCCCACTGTTGAAGGTCACCTAGACAGGCTCTGTAACTTTGCTACTGTGAATAGTGCTGTGATGAACACAGGGAAGCAGGTGCCTTTTTGGTAGCAGGATTTATGCTCCTTTGGGTAGACACCGGTGGCAGGATTGCTGGATTGAATGGCAATTCTGTTTTTTTTTTGTTGTTTTTTTTTTGAGTTGGAGACTCATTCTGTCACCCAGACTGGAGTACGGTGGCACGCTCCCGGCCACCGCAGCCTCGACCTGCTGGGCTCCGGTGATCTTTCCGCCTCAGCCTTCTAAGTAGCTGGAACTACAGGCATACACTACCACGCCTGACTAATTTTTGATTTATTGTAGAGACGAGGTCTCGCCAAGTTGCCCAGGTGGGTCTCAAACTTGTGGGCTCAGGCAATCCACTCACCTGGGCCTCCCAACGTGCTGGAATTACAGACTGAGCTACCAAGCCCAGCCGACAATTCTGTTTTGGGGAATCTCCAAACTGCTTTCACAGGGGCTGACTCAGCTGACACTCCCACAGCCGTGTATGAGAGCTCCCCCTTCTTCACAACCTCGCCAATGTCTGTCCTGTGCGGGCTTTTTAACAACAGGGTGTGAGGTAGCATCTCACTGTGGTTTGGATTTGTATTTCTCTGATACCTGCCTTTGTTTTTTATGTCCCCCGTCTTCCCAAACACGCTCAAACACGCTCGCCCTCTTTCTTCAGTGCTGCTGTGACGTAGAATGTCATGGGCCTGATCTCGTTGGTTGTCGTTTCTGACTCTCACAAGGGTCGTCTCTTTATTTTTTCTAACCAAACCTTTATTAGCTGCTTTCTCTCCAACACACACTAGCAAACCTATCCTAGCCCCTATAGTTAATGTTAAAGTCGTAGTTATTTATTGCCCAGCGACGGCCGAGTGGTCCAACCCACTGGATGCAGAGGAGTGACGCGCCCTCATCACATGTGAAGATGATATGCGCCCCTTCTAGGTTTTAATTTCATCCCACGCTTATTTGCGAGTTGGCCCAATTCACTGCTGGATTCGGTGGCTTGTGTTTCCGGGTCACCCGCCCTGGCAACACTAGCACTCGTACTGGCGTGTCCCATTCTCTGATGGCAGTGGGGCTGTGGGCCAGTTCCCTCCTCTGGGAAAGGGGGTGACCGTGGGATGTGGGGTGCATGGCTGCTAAGCTCCGTGGGGCTGCCATGGCATACGCTGCTCCCATGCCAGCCTCTGCAAGCACTTTTTGTATTAGCGTCCCCTCACTCAAGTTTCTATCCTGTGATCAAATGCAGGCTGCATGATGCCACCACAGCATGTGGTCGCTGCCAAGCCCCTCCTTGGCTCGCCCACCTTCATTTCTCCAGACCTCTGCTTGTCCCCACACACACTGTGTTCGTCCATTTTGCTACCCTAGGGGAACGCCTGAGGCCGGGTCTATAAAGAAAAGAGGCTTGACCCACTGTAGAGGCTTGGCCCACTGTTCTGGGGCTGTACCGGAAGCCACACTGGCATCTGCTTCTGGTGAGGCCTCTGGAAGCTCCAATCATGGCAGCAGGGAAGGGGAGCAGGCGTGTCATGTGGCAAGTGCGGGAGCAGAAAGAGGAGGCGAGGCAGCCACTGTGTCTGTTCCCAGAACTTTCCTGTGTTCCCCAGGCATCTGTGCAGCCCCCGGCCTCGCCTGAGGAGGGCTGGGGATGGCAGCCTGTCTATACCAGCTCTCTGGCATGCCTTGGGGCCTGGGAATGTGGGTTCATGGGTGCTCCCTGAGTTCAGCACCAGGAGGAGCTCAGCCTGAGGAGGGAGGGGGTAGTCAAGTCCAATCTTTGATTTTTCTTTCCCAAAATGACGTGTCCATCGCTCTCTTACTGGGAATGTTCCCCAGGGATGCACTCCCAAGCTCTACAGCAGCCGAATGTCCTGCTCTCCCCACACGCTGCCGAGCAACCCTTGCTAAAGAAGACGTTTATCTCCCAGCCAGGCTGTGAGGGACACAGTGCCATCCATCCACTGTCCTGGGCATGACACGGCTGCTTTCCAGCGGTGTTGGGATGGATAGACAGCCAGCCAGCTCCGAAGTTCCAGTGACCCCTGCTGCGCACCGTGTCTTGCCTTTGAAGTGGTGGGCAAGGTGGCCGAGGGGGCACAGTGGCACTGACGTGGACCCTGCAGGCAGGCTGGCTCTGGTTGGTCACACCTCGGCCAAAAGGCCCCAGCTGCCATGTGGTGATACACAACAGACACAAGCAAGTCATCAAGCAAGAGAGCTTAAGAATAAAACAGTTTTTGGACTTTATTTAAATCTGCCCACACCAGGAGCTGAGGCCTACAGGGAGCCCAGGGAGCCCAGGATGTGGTGACTGTCCCTTGGTGTCTGACGTCACCCTGGGTTGAAGCATGTTGGAGTTGGTGCCTGGAGGTGGGTGGAGGTGTGTGGCGGGAGCGTGGCCTAGAAGGCTGCAGAGTGCAGGCTCATCGGGGGGTCTTCCCTTGGGCGACCTCTCCTACTCCTCCAGACCACTGCCCCCACGACGCCCACCAGCAGGCCACCACCGGCTGCCACAGGCACGGCCCAGGAGAGTGCATCGGGGGCCGCTGTGGCCTGGTCTGGGAGTAGCTGGCTGTTTTGCAGCGTGTAGAAGTGCGGGCTCTCCTGTGGGAAGGAGCAGGGATGTCAGAGGTGAGGTCTCTCCTACCCGCCTATGCCTGAGACCTGCCTGGTCTGGCCCCGGCCTGGCACATCCACCCTGCGTGCTTCCACAGCTCTGCCCTGGTGAAACTCCTGCGGTCACGCAAGTCCTGACCTCCCTAGGAGTGTGGGCCTGTAAAGGAGCCAGAGCCCAGCCAGCATCGTCCTCCCTAGGAGCCCAGGCCTCTAAAGGGGCCATTGCTCGGCCAACCCTGACCTCCCTAGGAGTGTGGGCCTCCAAAGGGGCCATCACCTGGCTGGCCTCGTCCTCCCTAGGGGTGCGGACCTTTAAAGGAGCCATTGCCCAGCCAGCCCTGACCTCCCCGGGAATGTGGGCCTCTAAAGGGGCCACTATCTGGCCAGCCTCCTTATGGGTCTCCCAGCTTTCCTCCCTGTCAGGCCTCCATTTGGAAGATTCTGGGAACCGAAAGGGGCCCATGGGAGAGCGTCCCAGGGAGCAGCCAGAGCTCCTGCTGTCCCTCCTGCTGTCCCTCCCAGGGACCAGGAGACCAGGGTAGAAGGATAGTCTTCTCTGCACTTAAAGAAGCAGAGCAAGTCGGGCTCGGTGGCTCAGCCTATAATCACGCGCCTTGGGAGGCTGAGGTGAGTGGATTGCCTGAGCCCGCGGGTTCGAGACCCGCCTGGGAAGCGAGACCTCGTCTCTACAATAAATCAAAAAATCAGCCGGGTGTGGTAGCGCATGCCTGTAATTCTGGCTACTTGGCAGGCTGAGGCGGAAGGATCGCCGGAGCCCAGCAGGTTGAGGCTGCGGTGACCGGGAGCGGCCACTGCGCTCCAGTCTGGGCGACAGAGTGAGACTCCAACTCAAAAAAACCCAAAAACAAACAAACAAAAAAAGAAGCAGAGCAAGAGGCTTGGGTGCGTGGAGGCCTCAGAAGTGGGAGCGCTGAGGCCCCGTCAGTGGGAACTTTGAAGCCCCCTCCCCTTGCTCCTTGGCTGTCCTGGGAGCCAGAGGGTTCTGGCTGTGGGGAGTGATGTGCTGGGCTGGCACTGAGGGCGGGTGCCCTGGTGGCACCTCCCTGGGGACTCCTTGGGGCCCGCGAATGGCAGGGCAGGCATGGCAGGAGGGGTGGGTGGGGTGTTGCTCACCGGCGAGGGGCACTTGAGCTTGGCCCTGCTGTGGGTGAAGTTGTTGGAAGTGGTCTTGTGGCCCACGGGCTCCAGCTGGGGGAAAGACACCTTGGCTGTCTCTGTCTTCTCCTGTTGGAGGGCCTCCCTCCCTCCCCCTTCCCTTCCCTCCTTCTTTCCTCTCCCTCCCCTTCTCTCCCCTCTCTTTCCTCCCCTCCCCTCCTCTCCACAGATGCACGGTCAGAACCCTTGAGAACAGCACGGCAGGCAGGAGCTGACTGGAACCACACAAGGACAGGTCAGTGTCTCAGAGCTGGGGCCCCTGAGCCTGGCAGGCCTGAGCTGCTGCAGGACATGCGTAGTTTCTCTTGAGCTGGCCCGCCCCGGCCAGTGCTGGGCTACTGACATGGAACCGATGGCAGGCCCAGGCAGGGCTCCATGGAACCAGGCTGGCAGGATGGGGCCTAGGGACCCGAGGTGGCTCCTGTGGGACCTGGTGCCTGAGCCAAGCACTGGGGTGGGTGAGGAGGTGAGAAGGTGGTCAGGGATGAGGAGGTGAGTAGGAGTAGGTGGGGGGAGATGGCAGGGAGTGGGGGTGAGACAGATGGGCTCGGAGGCTGCAGAAGCTGGGCTGGGTGGAGGAGTCAGGGAGCAGACAGTTGTGCCTGAGGCCTGCGTGCTGCGCTGAGGCCTGGCCTGCCTCCCTCTGAACACATGGGTGCCTTGGTGGGTCTTTTCTTGCTGGAAGTCCCATGGGGAGCAGGCTCGAGGCAGAGGCCCAAACACATGCACATGAAGAGGGCCTGGGAACTCTGGGGATGCCGAGTGCGGGTCCTCCACATCGTGGGGCCCAGCTCTGGGGCTGAGCCCTGCCAGGCACTGTCGTGTTGGGCTTTGGCGAATGCTTACTTGAGGCTAGCACCATGGAGATACAAGCGCAATCCCACGAAGCTGATGGACTGTCCACTGCGAGCGTCATGTCCAGGCCGAGGACACAGGCCCTGCCAGGATCAGAAGCCCGCCTTCTCCATTAACCCCAGGATCACTGCTGACCCTCACTCCATCCTGCGATGGCTTGCTTTGAAAACATGTGTCTGCGTGTCATTGATGTGCCGCGAGGTATCCCATCACAGGATGTGCGTTGTTTGTCCGTCCTTCCTGCTGTCGGTGACACATGAGAGCTTCCTGTGTGGGCTGCTGTGGACAGTGTTGCCAGAGGCCTCTTGTGTTCACCCTTGGGGGACACGTGTCCACCTTCCTGCTGGGATATGCCAGGAGGGCACATCTGTCCCAGGAAATACACGCGATAGAGGAACTTTCCCAGGTGGCTGGGAACGGCTTGATTCTGATGGTCCCGGGTGACCTTGCTGCACAGCCAGTGCTGAGGGCGGCTGTCCCAAGTCCAGGGGTCTAGAGAAGGAAGCCAGTTGGGAGGCTGGAGTTGCTGCCAGCGCCTGGGACATGGAAACCCTGGCCACGAGCGTGGAGACGCGGGCCTCAGAAGAGACAAGAGACAAGGGAGAACTCTACAGGAGACAGAAGGAGGCAGAGAAAGGAGGATGGCACTTTCCTGCCTCTGCAGAGTCTCTGAGAAGGAACTGCCAGCGACTGAGGGGGTAGGGCCTGGAGAATGCTGCCCAACAGTGTCCGTGAACATGACAAAGCTGCACATGCGGTCCTGGGGCCCTCACAGCGAGCCCTATCATCACCCTCACCCCTGTGCCTTTGGGGTTGCAGCCGTGGGCAGGGCCTGTGGCCAGACCTGCCCTGGGCACTAGCGTCAGTGTGAGGCCAGCACTCAAGCACCGAAAACCCGGGGGACAGCCTCAGCTCTGCTCCAGGCCTCCCTCATGTCTCTCTAGGGGTGAATCCCAGTGAGGGGACGACCCAAAAGGCACTAGCTGCCAGGATGAGACGCTCTGGGTGCTGCAGGTCAGTCTGGCTTTGTTTTGGTTTTAAATTCAGGTGTGGCTGAGATAACACTGGGTTGCAGGCAGGTATCTTGTCTTTGTCTGGTGATGTCTCCAGGGCAGGTTGGTCTCTGCTTTCCTACTGAAACTTCTGCCTGCCTCACCTCCTCTGAGTAGGAAGGGCTGTCACAGCTTGGAGGAGGAGGCTGGATGGCGTTCTTGACACACACAGGAAGACACCAGGGGCCCTGTCGTGAGAGGTCCGTAGGCCACCACTCCGGAAATGCCAGCAGGCCCGGGATGCCCTGGTGGGAAGGCTGGCTCAGCTCCTGGCTCTTCTTAGAATCCATGGAACAGAGGTCTTAGGGAAAGTGCCACAGGGAACAATTCCCATTCTTTGGGGGGATTTTAAAAAAGGAATGAAGCCATGTGACTCAGCCACAGAGGACAGCTTGCCCTCAAGGCTCGCAAAGCAACAATGCTGCTCTTGGCAATTAAATGTGGGTAGGAGGGACCAAGGGAGACTGAGTGCTGGGCAGAGTCCTGGCTGAGAGTCTGAGGGAGGCTTTTGGAGTGGGCGGGTGTGTGAGGCCAACAAGAGGAGACCAGGACGAGTGCAGGAGAGGGGAGTCGCTGTGAGGTCATCCAGGACGGAGCCCGTGGGCACGCTGCTCTGGAAAGAGAAGGCTGTGGAGGGAAGGAGGATGCAGGGGGAGGAGGCTGCAGAGGGGAGGGTAGGGGCCATGCAGGGGAGCAGCGGTGTGGCCAGGGAGAAAGCCAACACCGAGTCAGTTGCGAGACTGGACGCCGGGTGAGGTGTGTGCAAGGCTGGTGGCGGGGACCCCACGGCCCCACAGCTACTGAAAGCGGCAGGAGGCAGTCATTTAGTCACCACAGGACAAGGGAGGGGCATGTGGGCTGGTGGTGTGGCACCTGCTGAGCTTGACTGAGAGAGCCCATGACTGGGGCCGAATCGCCCCCCCATCCACAGGAGGGTCCAGTTTCGGGATGACAGTCAGGCTCTCTGTAGGTTTGGCTGGAGCCAGTCATGAATGGTCGCCCACCTAGGCCAGATGTCCCCTGGCCCTGTCCGCATGTTCCTTTCATAAGGTCTTTCTCCATCAGTGACGGCCAGGGTGGGCGGCAGTGCGGGGACAGGCCCTGTGACCGTCACTGTCCCACATCAGAGGACAAACATGGACATAAGTTAGGGGAGGAGGAAGGGCTGCGAGGTTGCAGGTGCCGACCATGTGCTGGGTGCATGTTCTGAGGCCTGGGCCATTTCCAGTGTCTTATAGATGTTGGTACAGATGGCTTGTCCACGGCCGCACAGCAAAGCTGAGGCTTGTATTTCATCCAGCACATCTGACCACCAAGTTGTCCCTCAAGAGCCGGCACCACTGAGAATAGAGTCTGTCTGTGTGTGTGTGTGTGTGTGTGTGTGTGTGTGTGTGTGTACATATGCAGAGGGGGCCAAAAATGCACACACACTTTAAGAAAGGAAAAACTATTAAAACCGTAATAATGAGATGAACACAAGTCCCATGTTCCTGCTGCAGTTACAAGAGGTGCTTAAGGTAGCTGCCCTCAATGCCTGGACACTTGTGATGAAGCGAGCATCTCTTAACACGCCTTAAAACATGTCTTTGGGCTGGGCTCGGTGGCTCAGCCTGTAATCCCGCGCCTTTGGGAGGTTGAGGTGAGTGGATTGCCTGAGCCCGCGGGTTCGAGACGCGCCTGGACAGTGAGACCTCATCTCTACAATAAATCAAAAAATCAGCCGGGCATGGTAGCGCATGCCTGTAATTCTGGCTACTCGGAAGGCTGAGGCAGAAGGATCGCCGGAGCCCAGCAGATAGAGGCTGCGGTAGCTGGGAGCAGCCACTGCACTCCAGTCTGGGTGACAGAGTGAGACTCCAACTCAAAAAAAACAAAAACATGTCTTTGGTTTTGGTACCCTCGTATATATACACACACATATATTATATATGCATATCATCTGAACACAGCCTAGAGAATCAAGCATGGGCCCTTTAGACTTGCAGAGAGAGGGAAGAATATGTGCCGTGTGCTGACTCGTTATTTTTGAAGGGGCTGAGTGTAGACACACACTCTCTGAAAACAATCCATCAGGACCCATGAGGTTTACCGCCCTGCTGTGCCCTGGGGAGAAAGGAGCCCTGCCGGCCAGCGGCTGGGTCACGGTGGGGTCAGAACCAAGAACCCCTGGATCTCAGAAGCCAACCTTGGACCCCTGGATGCCGCCCCCTAGACCCCCAGACACTGTGCTCTGGACCCCAGATGCCACGCCCAGACTCCCAGATGCAGCCCCCTAGACTCCAGTCGCTGTTCCCTGGACCCCAGACGCTGCCCCCTGGACCCTCAGACACTGCCCCCTGGACCCCAGATGCCACTCCCACACCCCCAGATGCAGCCCCCTAGACTCCAGACACTGCCTCCTGGACCCTGGATGCTGCCCCCTGGACCCTCAGATGCCACCTTCTGGATGCCACCCCTGGGCCCCGGGCCTCACCATGTTGTTCCAGAGAGCAATGGCCATCTCAGCATGACCACGGGCTGAGAAGTGGAAGCAATCTTCAGAGAAGAAGGTGGGGTCGGCATCCCCTCCCTGCAGCCAGAGATGGGGGTGACTGTTGGGGAGCGCACTGCCCCATCCCCACCCCCATAGGTGCCAGGTGGTCTTCCTCCTCAGCTCTGCTGCCCACAGCTCAGACGCTGCCAGAGACACCCCCGGATTCTGGAACCTTCTGCACAGATATGCACTGAGCCCCCTGCAGCCCACCCTTCCAGCAACCCCTGTGGCTGGAACAGTCGTGGTATTTGCATTTTAGGAAGTGTTCCCTGCTATCCTGACCTGGCCACATCAGGGCTGGCCTGGCTCACTGGTGAGTTTCTTTTTTTCTTTCCAAGTTCATCTAAGTTTCAATCATGCCAAAAAAATAGGGAAAAAAGAGATCGAGCAGAGAAAGCAGCGCTGAGTAAGAAAAAGCCCACTCAGGGAAGGATATTCCCCAGCCTCCACACCTGAGCCTCCAGGCCTGAGCCTCCCCAAGCCCACTCACCTCGGTCAGGGGCACAAACGTGTTTTGGAAGAAAGGCTGCACCACTACCGCAAAGTCCTCGCGCTGCATGTACCAGGGCCAGTAGGAGAGCCTGGAGACACCGCTCTGGGGCAGGAGAGAGGCAGCTCAGGTAGGCAGGACAGGCAGGCCAGCTCCCTGCTGGCAGGGGTCAGCCCGTCCGGGCCCAGGGCAACCTAAGGGCCCTCTGGCACTGCGCCTGCTCCAGACCTGCCCCTGAGCACCTGCACGGCCTACACGGGCTCTTGGGCTTCGAGACCACCAGTGGCCTGGGCCAGAGAAGGCCCCATCTGCCAGCTCCACTCTCTTCCATTCTAGGCCCACGAGGCCAGGCCTGAAGTGTTCCCACTTCCCCTGCGCAGATGTCAGTCAGAGCCAGGTTCCAGGGCACACCTGGCCCAAATGGCAGTGTCACCACAGCAGCCCCCAAACGTTGGTAAATGCTGGGGGGAGGCTGTGGTCGCCGGGTCTGTTAACAGCCCAAGCACAGATGCAGAAGGAATAGACCAGACGTTCTTATGCCCGAGGGCCGTGCCATCCATCTGGGGGGTGGGGATGCAGACTGAATGTGACACAGAAGGTGTCTGAGTTCAGGCAGGGCTGCACACTTGCCCCCGGATAAGACAGTCAGTCTGCAGGAAGGAGCCGTCCTGTGAGGGACCAGCGAGGAGAGTGGGCATGGGCAGAAACACATGAGGGAGAAGGGAGGGGTGCAGGGGGACTTGGGGTGGGCAAATAAGGAAGACTGGAGGAAGGAAGCAGGGCGTCAGTCACGACAGCTGGGGGACGGAGCCCCATGGGGCCTCCTCTGGGGGCCATGCTGCTCCCGGCTCAGGGCTGGCCTGGGTTTGGCAGGCGGGATCCTGTCAGCTTCTGCTTGGCGTCTCTTTCCCTCCTGGCTTGGTGTTTGGTTCCCCAGGATAAATATTTCAGGGGCTGGGATCTGCCTTGAGGGAGTGGCTTGCTCTTGGCAAACCCTGCTGGCAGGGGAGGAGGCCTGGAGTCTCCTATCTCCAAGCCTCAATCAGGGAGGATGGGCTGGTTGGCTGGGGTCTGGGGCCTCCCATCTCTAAGCCTCGGTCAGGGAGGACGGGCCGCTGCAGGGGAGGAGTCCTGAGGCCCCCCAACCCCAGCCTCAGTCAGGGAGGACAGGCCCTGCTGGCAGGGAGAAGGCCAGGGGCTCACCTGGAGGCTCCAGGTCATCTGCTTCAGCTCTTGCATTTGCAGGGGGTCCTGAGCATGTCGGAGGCAGGCGCAGCTGTTTCTGTGAGGTGGGAAGGGGTGTTGAGGCCCTGGGCGGCCAGCCTGGCTCTGTGCCCAAGAGGCCACCTCCATGGGTGGAGGTGGGGAGGCATATGGGCACCCCACAACTCAGCTCAGGCCTGGGCCAGGTCGCTGCGCCCTGCGTTGGACGTGAGGCCCAGAGGTGCTTGTTACAGAGAAGGTGGAGGAACCAGCCCCGGCACTGGGTCTCCTTGTGGACGGGAACCCCTTCCCTGGCCTGTGGTCCCTGTGTTTTAACCAGAAGACTGGGGGCTAGGGCTGGAGACCGCCCAGACAGGTCCGCCTCTCGGACACCCTCATGCTCCCAGGGGAGCTCAGCCTCCCGTGCTCGTGACCCCTTGCCCAGTGTGGGGTCTACTGGGAAGTGGGTGGGCCGCAACGTCAGCAGGGTCTGGGATCTGCCCCAGCAAGCTCCTCCCCCATGGAGGCATCACACAGCCCTGGGATCCCCAACCCCTAGGACAGTGGCCTCCTGCCAGGAGCTTCAACAAGCTCCAACCCTACAGGGACTCCCGCCTTCCCACGGGCACCACACCTCCAAGTCAGCTTTTGGGACCAGTCCCAACCAGGACAAAATCAAGGCCATGATTGCCTGAGATCTTGCCCAGGCGGATGGCACCTGCTGGCATCTGGACTCCACACCCGCCTTGCCAGGGAGGTGTCTCCATCCCTACTCTGCAGACAGGGTCTGGGGCCCACCATGGTCATGGGTTTTCTCAAGGGCACTAGGGCAGAGCAGGGCTTGCTGCCAAACACAGTCGCCTCGGAAGTCCAGGCCTGTGCTGCCCCTCAGGACAGAAGACGTGCCCAGGCTGGACGCTGCAAGCACTGTCAGGGAAGCCAAGCGCCACTGGGTCTCCCTGTCTCACTTCACAGGAAGCAAGCTAGGGTCCAGAGAACAAAGGGCCTGGCACACACAGGCACAGGGGCTTGTATACAGTAGGCATGGGGATCTAGTATACAGCAGGCACTAGGCAGGTATGGGGCCTTGTATACAGGAGGCACTCACTGACACAGAGGTGCTTTCTGGTGACTCTCTCACATCCGCCCTCTGGCAGGCCTGCTGGTGCCGCCTCCATGGCCTCTCCTTGGCACTGGGAGCCCGCCTCACCCAGGTGCCCTCGCCCAGCCATGCCTGGCCACTTACTGGGCTGCTGGCACAGCACACTTCCTGCCTTGGCCCTGGGGCAGGCTGGCCAGTTCCATGACCTCCACCACGTTGACGAAAGTCTTCGGGAGCTGTGGGGTCACAGTGGGCCTCATCAGGCTGGGGCAGGGGGTGTGGGCACTGGCCACCCAACTCCCCCCAATTTCGCCAGTGAAGAGACAGGGACCCAGCAGGGCCGACTTGGAGCATCTCGCTGAGTCCCGCGTGTCCCCTATAGACCCGGAAGCTGAGGTTCCTGGGGGGCCCTTGCTCATGGTCCCGTGGCGGTGAAGCCACAGTGCCGGCAGACCAGGCCAGCGGCTCCAGGATGAGGCCCTTGCTGCTGCACCCTTCTGGTCCCCTTGAACGTCCTCTGCAAGGCGCACGGCGACATATCGCCCAGTGTCAGGGAGGCCCAGTGCCACTAGGTCTCCCGGTCTCACTTCACAGGAAGCCAGCTGGGGTTTGGAGAACAACCGACCTGGCACACAGCAGGCAGAGGGCCTTGTATGCAGTAGGCACAGGGGCCTTGCGTGCACTGGGCTGTGCCTCTGAGCTGCACCTCTCACTGACCACAGCCTGCCAGCATGCACCCGGGAGGGCCCCCTGGAGGCAGCAGGCTGGTGGGTGTGGCAGGACGGGAAGGTACGGCCACCCCACCTGTTTGTAAAGGGTGTCCAGGGCCTGCTGGATGTGCTGCACGAACTCCTCGGCCAAGGGGGCCTCCTGCGAGAAAGAAGGGTTCTCAGCCCTGGGATGCCCTGAGGACAAGGGTGCGGGGCTGGGCTGAGGTCAGGTTGGGTGTGGCGGCTTCGTGGTCCTGGCCAGGCCAGAAGCGCAGTCCTGGCTGCTGTGACAGAATTTCCCATAGGAAGTCACCCAGGTCCAAGCTAGACACCATGGTCAAGTCATGCCCCCTCCCCCAGTAGCTCAGACCCCAGGTAGCCTCTGCCATGCTGGGCCTCACTCCTCAGTTCTCTTGGTCCAGCTGGTCTCAGCCTTCTCCAACACCTGAGGCCCCTGGGACTACGCATTCTCTTTCCTTGGGCTCTGGCCCCGCTGGTCCCACTGCCTGGAGCTAGGTGTTCTACTGCGCCCTCCTGACTTATCCCGCGACTCAGCCCCAGGGTCGCCCCGGCCCATCTCCCCATGGCAGGCTGTGGAGGTACCCCACAGCGTCCCAGGTGATGTGTTTGGGGTACACAGTAGGTGCTCCATAAGTGTTTGTTAACGGCCTCTCAGGGTTTTGAGATTGGCCTTTGAGACTTTGCCTGCCCCAAGTGTGCCCTTAGTGCATGAGGGAGACAGGCCTGCATTTTTGGACACGGCCCTGGGTGCCTCACAAGGTGTTGGGGACGGTCAGTGGAGGCTGGGTGATGACTTGACGCTTTCCCACTAAACCGAGGCAGGCGGCCACAGGTTGTAGAAAGGCCCCACCTGGCTTGAATGAACCAGGCAAGGGAGGGCCAGGGCGGGGCCAGGTCAGGCCGTGAAAGACCGGGGTCTGCAGTTCCCCACCTAGCCCTGGGGCCGTGACCTACCGGCCTCTCCTCACAGTAGCGGCAAAGGTCGGTGCTCCCCACAAAGAGGGTGACCAGCTTCCAGTCCTTCTCCAGGTCGATGTCCTGAGGGGACACAGCATCTTGAGCTTGGGCCTGGGGGCATGGGCAGCCTCCACACGCCTCCTTCCTCCATGTCACCAGGGAAGATGCACTGACGGCCTCCAGCTCCCCTTGGAGTGGTGAGCAGCCCATAGAGGGTCTGCTCTTGTGGGGGAGGGCTGCTTTCCCTGAGCTATGACCCTGAGAGCGTGGCTGTCCACGGGACGTCACGCCTGTGGGTCCCATGCCGCCTGGAGCCTATGGAGGCCATGTGGAACCTGCCCCAAGAGTGCTCTGAGGTCTCCAGTGAGCTGAGGCCCCGCACGTCAGAAGAGCTTCCAGGGTCTGGGTCGGGGGAAAGGGAGCAGAGGAGGAACCGAGTGTGGACGGTGGGCTGGGGAGGCCAGGAGGGTGGGGAAGAGGCAGCCTCCCACTCAGCTCCCCAGGACACAACCGGGTCCCAGGCCCGAGCACCAGTGAAGGCGTTTCCCGGGCGGGAGCAGGAGGAGGAAGGACTGGGTTGGAGGAGAGGCCTATGTTTAGAACCTTGCGTGTCACCACAGGGTGGGGGGTGCTCTGGGAGGATGGGTGGGTCCAGCGGGAAGTGCCAGAGGCCAAGGCTGGGCTCTCGGTGCCTCCTGCAACCGCCTGGGGCAGGGCACAGCCTGGGCTCCTTGTGGGGCCTGCTTTGGCGGCCTCCACCCTCTCCTTAAGCCCTCCCCTGCCGGCAGGAGTGGCCATGATGCTCCTGAGGGCTGCCCCGCCCATGCCCGGCTGTACTCACGGGGCTGTTCCTCAAGCGGTCCACCAGCTCCAGGGCCTGGGCTGGCATGTCCCTGGAGAGAGAGAGCCATCAGGGCTGGCCGTGGGCTCTGGCTGGGAGGAGTGTGGCAGTAGCCACTAGCTGCACAGAGCACAAGGCACCCCGTCCTCAGGATGTGTTGGCCAGGAACACCCATGGAGCCACATGGACCCAGGCCCGGCCGTGATATGCATCCACACACTCCGTGGCAGGGTCTGGGCCCACAGCCCGCCTGGCTGGGGTCTGGTCAGTGTCCCCATCGGCAGGGGCTTGGTACTCAGCTGCATCTTAAAACTCACCTTCTGTGTATTCGGGAGAGTCACAGCACTCAATGCCGCCTCCCTGGCCTCACGCCTTCTTCAGCCTTTCCATCTACACCACTCTCTCCTTCAACCCTTCCGTGTTCCCCCTCGGTGGTTACTTGGGTTTAGACACCGTTCCCATCTCCTTGCCTTCCTCCCCTCCCCAACAAACAGGGTGGTGTGCACAGGGCACATTCTCCCTTCAGCTGCTGTGAGTCAGACGGTGCCACTGGGCTCTGTGCAAGCCATTGTGCCAGCAGGCGTCACCCAGCTCAAAGAGGAATGAGCTGCTTCTTTTTTTTAAATTAGAGTCTCACCCAGGCTGGAGTGCAGTGGCACAATCGCAGCTCACTGTGGCCTCAAGCACCTGGGCTCAGGCGATCCTCCTGCTTCAGCCTCCCAAGTAACTGGGACTACAGGTATGGGTCACCACACCCAGCTATTTTTTTTTTACTTTTTTTTGTAGAGATGAGGCCTTGCTATGCTGCTCAGGCTGGTCTCAAATTCCTGAACTCAGGCAATCCTCCTGCCTTAGCCTCCCAAAGTACTGGGATTACAGGCATGAACCACGGCACCTGGCCCACACTTCTGATATACCCAAAATGAGGATGAATCTTGGAAAAATTTGCTGAATGAAGTCAAACACAATAGAGTACATACTCTTTGGTTCCATTTATATAAGATTTTAGAAACTTCAAACTAATCTATAGTGACAGAGCACAGGCTGGTGGTCTCCTGGGGAGTGGAGACAGGAAGGGGTGGGAGGGCAGGAGAAAGACCCTGTGGTGACACGCGGGCCATCATGATGCGTGTGGGTTTCCCAGGTTCTACAAGCACCGATGCAAAGCCTGTCGAGCTGTGTGCTTTCAGTGTGCACGGGGTATTGTGTCAGCTAGACCTCTACACAGCCACGTTTTGATATCTACATGGAGTGGTGAGCTGCGGGGGTCTTCCATGGAAAAGCTCACAGAGGCAGCCTCCGGGGTAGCGTGGCTACCATGATTCCTCGGGTGTCCATGGGAAGCAGGACACATGGCCAAGGGCACATGGGCCTATCCCTGCCCTGGCTTCTCCTCGAGGAGAATGCACGTGTCTGCCGGGCTCGGTGATCAGCCTGTAATCCCGCGCCTTTGGGAGGCTGAGGTGAGTGGATTGCCTGAGCCCACGGGTTCGAGACCGG